TATATGTGTATATATATATATATATATATATATGCAGAGCTGGTAGTACCGGAGTACAAGTACTCCGGTACTTGTACTTACGTTACAATTTTCGGTACTTTTACTGTACTCCGGTACATTTTTGAAATCAGTACTTTTACTCTACTCCGATACTTTTTATAAAAGTACTTTTGAGTACTTTTTAAGTACATTTTGAGTACTTTGGTAGCTTAATGAAAGGGTAAGTGCAGGCATTTCTGATCATAATTTACGGAACCAAAACACGATCAACCGCCAAGAGTTAAAAGTTGAGATCAAAGAACGGCCTGTCGCCTCAAAGATCAGCCACTATCGTGAATGTGATAACAAACGTTGTAAAACTCCTGAAACGGTACAGTGTTTGCTCCAGACGGGATCACACCGAGGTGTGAACTGACCGATGCGTTTCTTTTCCCCAAACATCGCACTCGCATCTGACCTCACCACCTAAACCTACATCACTCCCAGGGTGGGTAGGGCCTACAAGTTCGCTCCAGGCGGGATCACATCAAACTGTGAACTCTTCCCTGACCATTGAAAGCAGTTTTTCCCGAATTTGCGAGACAACCTGAATTTTAATTAGTGTGGTTGATTTATTTTGGTAGCCTCGGTGTGGTTCAATTGTAATGGTGCGTAACGACAAAGGAGGTTGGGGGGGGGGGGGGGGACTCAATCAGAGATGGAAAGCTAAAATTGTTGGACAGGTAAAGGGTAGGGGCAACTGGATAAACGTAGATAAAGATCTCAAGACTCACGATGGGCTAATGAGTGTGTATATATAATATTATTATTTATGGCATGCCTCATGCCACTGTGATTGGTCATCAAGGTTGACCACTCTTTGCTTGCCATATGTCATAAATCCACCCAGGGGTCACGTCAGTTCATGGGTCACTGTAGATTCTTCCTTGGCTTCGTTGGCTAAGATCCCATATTTTCTTGCTTCCGAGCACTGGGATCTTAGGCGGAGACTACTACAGTAGACAGTCTTTGGTTACACTACACTTACTAGACTCTAGGAAACTATTGTATTTTGGTTTGCCGTTGGCGCCGTGGACTACACAGTGTGACCAAAATCTGTCAGACCACTATAATCAATTGAAACTGAAACTGTGTTCTCAATGTGTATCTAACAATTTTTAGGCTGCCTAAATTTCTGTTTAACTTTTTTTTGGGTGATTTTTGCTTAAGGCTACATTGATTCCTTGAGAATTTGTTAATGAAGAATTCGATGCACTTTTCCATTTCTATGCGGGCTATTTTCATCATTTTTATGTCTTAAGAGCAACTTTGTATCTACATTTTTCAATTTGGATACTCTTTCTGTAGAACTTTCCGACCTCTAGGACTGACTTACATTTGATCACATTGTCTTGCTCAAACAAGTTCTATTCATAATATCACTTACCCACTAGTTGCGTCTGTTCGTTTGGGTTGTTTTTTGTTCAACTTCACGGACCATTTCCATCGTTCAGTGCGTACATTGTATATTCAAATGCTTTGTATACTGTTTACATTTTTAGTAATAAATAGCCTAATTTGTCAAATATACTGGATAAGTTATAAAATATGAGGTTTTGCATAAGCGCTGAAGTGTTTTAGCATATTAGCAGAAAGTACTCTAAATGTACTCATGAGTACTTTTTTAAAAAGTACTTGTACTCAAGTACATTTTATAGGAAAATACTTTTACTGTACTTAAGTACATTTTTTAGATTGTACTTAAATTTGTACTTAAGTACTTTTTTAAAAGTACTTTAACAGCTCTGTATATATATATATATAAATCATAGTAAAAAGTAATTGAAAAAAAAGTATCGAGGGAAAGTAACCTAGGAAATCTTAACGTAAGAAGCTTAGCTATGTTTATGACCATTGGAATTAGTAAAACTATGTTTAGTCATCCAAACATTTGCAAATTCTGGTAGTTTTCAATTTCTGCAAAAGACGTTGGAATTGTTTGAAAGCTCCTCTTCTGAGTGTTCTCATTCAGAAGCGTCTATTACTTCATTTTAGACATTCCCCAAAATGTAATAGTATACCTTCACATGTACTTTTCTGCTTTGGGCATTGCACATGTTTAGCTCTAACAAATACTGGAGTATTTTAATCATTTTAACTGTTGCACGAAGGGAAGTGAAAAGGTTTCCAATTGGTTGCGTCCGTGTTAAATGTGAAACAATAATGACAATGCGCCCAGTTTTTACCGGCCTCTACAATGATAGTTAGAATGTAATGCATTTTCATGTAATTGCCACCGTCTTCATCATCATCATCATCATCATCATCATCATCATCATCATCATCATCATCATC